TGCAGAACATACAATGATTGCTTAAGCCACGGTACAGTACTGCGTGTTGTAATTCTAGCTTACAGTAGTACTCGTCATACAGCAAGGACAAGAGACTTCTGGACCACAGATAATCCTGGCGTTCATCAGCATCTGAACTCGGTGATGACAAAGCATGGGCTGAATGCTGCACAAAGTGATAGACTTCAAGGGAGTGGTGCAGGGTGCCATGGTACAGACCACAGCAGAAATCCAAAAGAAGCCTCAAATCCACCAGCGCTATTTGCTGAAGTCATTAGGCTGCTTCAGACACTATCCATGGTCATATTAACTTTCCAAAAGTTATGTAAAACAATGGAATGCAGGAAAAAAACCCTAAAAGTTCTTCCTACATTTTTACTGTACTGAGTCCTGTTAAGGATGGCTACAACACATGGCAAAACACAGACGAAAATTTGTTTTCTTGAGTCAAAAGAGTAAAAAAAATGTTTGTTCGTTTGTTTTTTAGTGCATCTCATTGCTTGTAGAGCTAAAGTAACAGGTATTTTCCAGCAGTTATTTTCCCCCATTCTGCTCTTAAACTTCATTCTTGATGAGGTGTGGGCAAGAACAGTTAGCTTGTCCAAGAAGAAGAGTTTGTGCTTTTGTGGAAGCCAGTGTCCCCAGTGAAGGAGTAGGATTAGATGGCTGTAGTAGGAGTAAACTGGACTCTGCTGACAGATGGAGGTGTTAAGGATACTTTTGAAATCTGCAGAGGACAGAGTAGGATAAGTCGCTCAATGCTGGCTTCTGTGATGGTGTTTTGGAAGATATTGAGCAGGACAGCTGAGCTGGAAATTAGGAGGATTCTAGGGAGCAGTAAGGATTAGGGTCTAGGTTGGTCAAGAATGAAGGAGAGCTATACATGGGGAGTTTTCGTAAACGTGAGTTCTGGGACCAGAGGAAGGGGCAGCTTTCCTATAGGAGCAGCAGGAGAGATGACATTTGGGTACAGAGGCCTGAGTCCTTGCAGACTAGAGGAATGCAAGAAAAGAGAGGCTGTGATGCAAGGCCCCTAGAAACTTCTAAGCAGGACTTTTTCTTTTTTGGACTGCTGCCTCTTCCTTTGTTCTTTATCTATGTTTTGCTGTTGGAACACACAACCTAACCCCTTTCCTATTCACTCTATACCATGTGGACGTACTATCTCAATATGCTATCAGATATGCTGTCAGATATACTGTCCCAGATAAGCATGCCATACTTAGTTCACTTTATATGGTTCCAATGCAGTATTTTGTCCTCCCTGAATACACTCAGGCAATCTGCAGAGCACTGAAAGTGCTGTTGCAAATTTAGCTATCTTCACTGGGAATCCTAAAGCTTTGCTTTTAGAGTAGAGGTTCTCAAGAGCTGCAAGGTCATACATGGGACTACCTTATTTCTAAAAGTTTCTTTAGGCTTTGAGCCCTGCTTGCAGTTAAGATTCTTCTCATTGAATTTAAGACCTCTTCTTAGCTGCCCTGGACTTGCCCTAGCCAATGGAAAGGGAAAAACAAGCCTTGAGGGGAAAAAAACTTTTAAAAGGGAATCCATTCCTAAGATCTGGTTTGTTTGGAAAAGCAAATGGGATGAGGACTGACATACCAATTTAATTTTTCGTCTTAGTCTCATCATCTTCCTCCTTTTCCACAGTACCAAACTTTAGAGACACTTCTTAGCAGTTAATGCGTATATTTGTGTGTGGTTCTGGAGATGAACTGTCAAACCATCTCCTGTGCTCATGCTTGTCTTGCACTTCTTAAGTGATCAGCTGAGATATGAGATCATCTACTACAGAGCATAAAAGAAAATGGTAGAACTGTGGTGTTTTGGAAATGAAGGTCAAGAATTTTGTTCCTAAGCTTATAGATGGGCTGGATGTCATTAAAACGACAACATTTACCAATGTCACATGTAGCATGTGCTTTGTAGCATTGTTGACAAGCATGAAAGTTCCTTGAGCAACAGATAATGATATTTGAGAGTAACTTCCTTATGTAACTTTTAGGTCTATGATGTTTTGGGTCTAGATCATGTTTTTAGCAAGATCATAATTTTTACCATGCATTGAGACATTTATCCTAGAAAATAACTTTGAGTATACATCTTAGAAATTAAAATGAATCAGGAAAATTTCAAGTATTAATCAAATGGATGTCAAATTGCTTTTACAGCCTAATATATGTAACATTTCTTTTATTTTGCTACTGTCCCATGAATCAATTGCTCTCCTCTGATAAATGAAAAATTATTTAACTATCAGGTAATGTCCAAACTCATCCATCAAAACTCAGCTGCTTGGCAGCACCATGGAATAACAGGCTTCTTTTCCTACTAAATTATTGCTTAGAAATTGTTGATTGAACTTAGTGATAGCAATACCTTACAAGAATAAAGAAATGCTTATTTGTCCCTGCTCATTGCAAGGAGGGGTTGGACTAGATGACCTTTAAAGGTCCCTTCCAAACCTAATTCTATGAAACACTAGGTCGTTGAGCATCACTTAACAAAGGAGACAGCTATTAGGAGCCAGTTTAAATTAATTAATTTTTAAGTAGTTTATAAAATAATTTATAATTTATAATTTAATCCTATTGCCTCTATCTTTTCTTAATGTGGCCCATGTTTTAATGAAGAAACCTCAAATGTGTCTTTCACAAACTGCTTCTGAACTCAGAATCCCACATTTTTATCACCTGATGACAAGCGGAAGGTCCAGAGGGAACTGATCTAACTGTTTTGAAAAATATTTCATTAACAATACCAGACAGATTTAGTAAAGCATATGCAAAGAATCAGAATGACCCAAAGCAGGTGACAGTCATCAGCCTGCTTACTATAGAGGAAAGGAGGTTTAGTTACACTCAGCAACTAAATATAGATAGGGAGGCTCTCTACTACTACAGCTAATCGATTGTATTTGTCTTTATATCTATGGGAACAAAAAAATGCTACTACAGTTCTTGTTTTCATCATCTAAAACCAAATTAGACGCACTATCAGACAGCTGTTTTAATCTGCAAATCATTTTGATTGTAATGACTTAATTAACCTCTGATCACATGCCTGCATCAATCTCACACATTTTCACTTATAGCATAGTTTTTATATAGTTTAGCTCTGTCTTGAGGTTGCAAAGGTATTCCATAGAAGACAGGAAGAAAAAAGTTTGTCCTTCAGGGAAATTTCTTAAGAATTAGAAAAAAAAAAGCCTGCTTTGCACCAAAATGAAAACAAAACCTGCCCTTTTTTTGAAGAGGAAGAAGCCAGCCCATCTTAGAGAAGCAGATAGCCCAGCCATTGGCAGATGCACGGAGGAAGCAAGGCTATGTCTATGTTGACCCTAAGATGACCAAGCCAGGGAGAACACATGGAAGTGCTTGAGAACAGTCTTCCCAAGTATAAGATCATAAGAGTCTATAAATCCTGTCTGCTCTTGCATCTGGTGATGCGAGGGATCCTGGGTTATCTCACGTCTGACATCAAAGGACGTGGCCACACGCAGAGATGGAGCTCAACACTAATTTCTACTGTAGTCAAAGCCATGATAAAGGGTCTGAGATTCCTGCCTGAGCACTGCGCAGAGATTGCTTCCAGCCCAAACTCAGGTTGTGTCTACTTAGTGTGGAAGGCTGAGTCTTTCCTTAAGCACTGGCCTATGGCCACACTCAATGTTTGACAAATACAGTCTAAGAAACAAGGTCCTGGTTTGTGCCTTGTTTTGCACCAGGAGTTGAACCTGTGGCCACCACATTTCACTGAGTGGTCTGGCCCTTCCAGAGAGGAAGCTTCCCCTTACACAGGGAAATTTTTCAAGTGTTCAAGGCCAGGTTGGATGAGGCTTTGGGCAACCAGGTGTAGTGGAGGGTTTCCCTGCCCATGGCAGGGGGGTTGGAACTAGATGATCTTTGAGGTCCCTTCCAACTCTAACCATTCTATGATTCTATGATTCAATGAAATTCCCAACAGCGCAGACACGTGTCACAGTCGCGGCCGCACTGGGTAACTCTGCCAGTCCAGTGTCAAATAGTTGTATTGCCAATACTGAAAGACGTCCAGCTGGCACAAATCTATCGTTCTCAGAAACTGTGGTTTTGTTAAAGCTACCTTTAAGGAATCAATGTTAAAAATGTCTATTTACCACATGAAACAGAACATTTTCTGAAACATAAATTAATCTGTATACTGCTGTTTAGAGACAAGTGGCACATGGCTCCTAAAATCAGATTTTCAGAGGTTCTGAGAACTCCAGTAGATCTCCTTCACAACTTACTTTTTTTTTTTTTTTTAATTTTGTGTTCAAAGTGAAGTTCTTCTCTTAAGCTTCTTTTATTTTCCTGGAATGATAGATAAACAATATATTTGATATCAAACATGAAGACTAACATACCCTTGTAGTGAAAGCATACTGAAAGGGGTTTGGTGTGGTGTTAGGGTCCCAGTCCTTCAAACTGGGAGATATGCTGTAAGGAAAACAGTTCTAGAGCTTCACCCAATTGCTCTGAGTACCTTATTAATCTTTTTTTTTTTAAGCTGAACATGGGATATTTTGATCTTTTGTAAAAATATATCGATCCTTTGAAGATAAAAGGTCTCTTGATGCCTAACACCTTGATGAAAAACACATGACAAGTAACAGATTTTATCTATAAAGAAACATTTTTAGCTCCTTTGGTTTATGCTTTAGCTCTGGTTCTTGTTCCTGTTGACCTAGACATTCTCTTTTAGTAAAGTTCAATATTAATAGCCAGGAGGATTGATGATGTTTAAATACAGCAAAGACTTAAAATTTCATATCATCTAGGTAGCAGAACTGCAGACAGATTCTCTGCTTGTGCTAAGGCGTTTGACTACAACAGATCTATGATACTTTATAGCGAGAGATTTTGACCCTGGGGAATGGATTTGTGAGTCTCATACAAATTACTGTCTTTAGTGTCCTAATTGATTCCATCTGTAGTTTTACACCCTTTCCTTTTTTCTTCCTCTTTCCTTTGTAGTCAGAGCTACCTTCAAACTGCAAGTGACGTGCCTGGGGGTCACAACCTGGATCCCTCTGCAAACTACAATTCCCCAAAGTTTCGCTCAAGGAATCAGAGCTATATGAGAGCAGTGAGCACCCTCAGTCAGGCCAGCTGTGTTAGTCAGGTGGGAAATTCTTCTTATAACTTTTCTTATAGGTTAATCACAGATGCAAGAGTTGTTACTAGTGGATGGTTTTAGGGTTTTTTACAATTAATACCAAACCGAGGATGTGAATTGTCAAATTAATTCAGTTCTAAGGAATGTAACCTTTGTTCAAAATTTCAAGAAAAATACTGAATGCTAGAAACAAAGAGACACTATCACACATAATATTTTCTTTTTTTTTCATAAAAAAACATGAATACTGGTATTTTCATTTTCAGTCTATATTAAATATTTAAATGTTAAGAAGATTCAGACTGAGCATAAGGGGCACACTCCTACAATACTCATCCTCTGAAAATATCTACTCTGATTTCAGCAAATGTGGGTTGCCAGATTAAGATATGATTGAAATAATTATTCTCCAAAGGAGCAATAATTCATCTCTAAACTCAATCCCTCACTCTTCTTGGGTGAAAGAATAAGTCCTATCAATTATTCTATGTATGGGGACTTCTGAAAAGGGACATTTTTCCACCCTGATGGTTTTATGTCGGTTAGTTAGTACTAATTTGTGTTGAAGTGAGATCTGAATCAGGCCTGAAGTGCAAGCAGCCTTATGAAGTACATGCATGTTACGTTTAGTAGAAGATTGTAAATAAAATTTCCAATGTTTCTAATGTGTATTGCTCCTGACATTTCTTCCCTGTGTTGCTTCATGACAGATGGGCCCTGCCCTTTTCTCAAACATGTGTTACTTTATTTTTCTTTGACCATTTAGTGAGGCACCTAAGGGTATAGTAGCTAATTATGCACAAAGGTTATGTTAAAAAAAAAAAAACTTTTTAAAGCATTTTGATATTCATTCACATTCAATTTGTATTGCATGGCTATTCAGGCCTGGATTCAACTCATCTAACTGAGGCTTTTAACTGAGGCATCAACTAAAACTTCCTCTGTAGTTAATGGAGTGGAACAGTGTTTCCCAGGACAGTGCACATCTCAAGTGGGCCGAGAGCCGTCTGGAAATGGAAATGCTTGTCAGTCTCCACTGACTGTAGAGTTGGGAGGGATGAGTCATCTGGCTAATGCCCTTCAGTGAAATTCCTTAATTTATGTGGGATAAATCTAAGTATAATATTGTATAGCACACATCAGAATAAGAAACAGACAGTCAATCATTTTCCAAACCTTTCATTATTTTTCATAGCTCCCTTGTGAAACCTGTCCCCATCATTTTCATGCCTTGATTTTCATTACCCTGCTTTGGTTAGTTTCTATTCTTATTACACTTCAGTTTTGAGAAAATTTCACAAGAATTAGATACTGCATTCAAAGCAAGTGCTGTTGGCTGTCACCTAACAGTGTTATAATATAGAACTATTCTAACATCTTCTGCCTCTTTGACCATGTCTGTGCATGGAGATGTTCAGTGAGCTGTCCATAACGACTAATTGGTTTCAACAGTGGTTAAAATTCTTCATTCTGATGTGCATTACTAGGAAAGATATCCACAATAGATTTCATTTGCAGGTGGATTGCTCAATTGTCCAAATTAACTATACCTGCTGGATATAGTTCCTTACTTTCTTTTCCAGTCTTCACTACAACTACAACTACATACTTCCTACCTCACAGTCCAACTGTTTCCAGACCATTAAGAAATTCATTTAAGAGATGCTACACAAAGTAAATGTCCTAAAATAACATGTTCTGAACCTTTGTTGTTTCCTGTTCTTTTTCCATGACACCATCATCTTCTTATCCCATCTACATATTAGCATTTTTATGATTTGTGGTATTTGTAATGCCTTTTCTTTTGTGAGATCCTTCCTTTTTCAATCTTGACCAAGGGTAGAGTCAAGAAATATGCTGGGTTCCATGGTTTATATTTTTAATTTAAGTTTTAAAAACTTTTATTTTTCTATTGTCAATGACCTTAGTTTGAAAGAAGTGGTTAGGAGTTAAAGTGTTTATGGACTACATTACCATAAATTTCCTGATCAATGATGTATGCAAAATATTTCAGAGTAAGATTTTTTTTAATCTTTTCGAGATTGCATTAGTCTACTTAACTTTATTAGAAGCAAATTTTATGAAGGGTAATGTAATTCCTTTCAGAGGATATTTAGTAGCCAAAATGTCTTACATGAAATTAAAATATCAGTTATTCATTATCATCAGAAGTTCTGTATGAAATTTCCATTTACTTAATCAAAATCCTAGAACATTTGAAACATTTGCACTCACTCACTTTCCATAATGAATAATGTACTAGGAACAGTAATAATAAAAAATGCACTTAGCAGTTGCATAGAAAAAGTAATATCAACTGGATGTGCTGTTTAGTGATGCTACAAATTTAACTTGGTATTTATACTCATTCTGATTTCTAGCACTCTCTTTTTAAACAAATTATTATCAGGAGGACATATCAGAAGGTCATGCATTTGTCTGTCCAGTGTTAACTTCATATCTGATTTTGGATAAACATAATTTTGAATTATTCAGGTACATTTACAGGTAGTCAGGGCTGACTTCAGAGAACCTGTTAAAAATTATCTAGGTAGTTTAGGAACTCTTCTTCAAAACTGCAATACACAGTTCCCTACTGAGAGGTTCCCTAAGCCTGGCTAGCCTGCTTAAACCATGTTTATCATGAAAGCTACCTAAATATTCACGGTTCTGCATCATGCCCAACCTGCAGGGCAGGGTCAGCAGGTAGATGCTGGTTCCCCCCAAGCCCTGCAGGGAGCTGGAGGGTGGTGCTGAAATCCCCCAAAAGGCCAACCTGGTAGGTGATGCAGGTAGGCACATCTAGGGTGCTCCAACAGGCAGGGTTCCTCAGCACACCTGGTGGCAGAAGTATCAGACTTAAAAGAATGCTGCTGAAGAAAAGGCAGCAGTAGTGGTTGCATCTCGTTTTTTCCACAGTAGTTGAACAGCTAACTCTGTTAACCAGGGAATGAGTTTGGTTTACAACCCTTCTCAGCTAAAGGTGATCTAAGCATTGTTTTCCCATCTGACTACTTTTCACTCTATTTCAGACAGTGGTTATTCTTTCACATGCTTCACTGGGCACAACTCTAGATGCAATATTTCTCAAACCTTTCAGAAGCGTCACCTCCTCTGAACTTACACATCTTCAAGTATGAGATACTTTCTTGAGCCCCTTTATAGTAAGAGGAAGATAACAACCTGCCACACAGGTCCACATGAATAGCAACTTTGCTGATAAGTGAGGAACCAGTCAATCCACCCTCACCTTTTGAAGGCTAATATTCATAATAATAACCATATTCATATGATTTCTGTTCTGCTATCCTGACAGAACATGGATTTCTGTCAGCACAGAGTGATCTTGTTGGTTACCATTAAATCATGTGTTTAGAATCCTCTGAATATGCCAAAAGATATTACATGTAAAATCAATTGTATGGCATGTGTGATGTACTTGCTATATTCGTATAAACAGCTGATGTAAGTTAAAAAAATGTGAATGTGATCAGAAGGGATTACTACATTTTAACTATTTGCTAAAACAGTTCTTCATCAATGTACAGGTGTCCATTTGAGATGTTGAGGCCGTGATGATCACAAAAAAGCAAGTCAAAAATCAAATGCATTGTTGTTGTTTATTCAGATGAGTGAAGCAGAGGTTAATGGGCAATTTGAATCGGTGTGTGAATCAGTGTTTAGTGAAGTTGAAGCTCAGGCAATGGATGCCCTTGACCTCCCTGGATGTTTCCGAACAAGAAGCCACAGTTACTTGCGTGCCATTCAGGCAGGCTATTCCCAAGATGATGAATGTATACCTGCGATGGCATCTTCCAACATCACCTCGACTATCAGGTCAACCACAGGTAAGCAAATTACACTGACCCTTCTACTGTTCTGCATGTAAAAATACGTTGTCTGGTTTTGTAAAAGGGTATTTGACACTGGAAACAATTCCCCTGTGTAGTGATAATATTTGATAACCAGTATTCTTAGGTTTGTAATACTGTACCATTGTGGCTATCACTCGGAATAAGCTCCTTCTGGGGAGAAGCCTCCAAGCACAATATAATGGACCTGGACTTCAGCATAGCCTTAATTTGACCTCCATTTCCCATACATACAGTTATCCAAGTGCAAATATAAAAATGCAAGTGTGAATGGTATCATTTAGATATTGTTAGACATTTAGGTATTTTTATCTATCAAGTAACTGATCTTCTGAATGAGATCAGTTGCACTCAATTTATGTCTTAAAGAAAGAGAGAAAGAAGATTTTAAATATTTGGTCTAAATACTTCCAGACAATTAACTTAACAAGGAATTAATTACTTTTAGAAAAGGTGTAACCAGTTGTATCAATACACTGAATCATAAACATTATGGCAAGCTTCACACATTGCTATTACTCATCAGTAACCATTAGTATTCGTTGTTATTCACTTTTAGGATCTTTTAATATTCTTGTAGCAACTTTCTTTTCTCTTATTAGTTGCTCGGCAAAGATGATAGCTTTATTCATTTTAGAATATTATCATTTAGTATTGGTAGAGAAAAGATGGCATAGATAGCAATTAAATAATTAAAATCAAATCTATAACAAACACGTATTCTCTGTTAAGTGATTCAAATTCACTTTTATGTTTCCAAATATGTTACTGTCAGTTCCTATGATATTGTCCTTGCCATGTACTATTAAATTGCCATGCAGGCTACCCATCTACAAAAGGTAAAATTAGAGCTCAAAAATGTATCATGCAAAAATACTTTTGAAATTATTTGCTTGACACATCTGTTGTATAACAGAAGAGTGGAAGATTAAAAAGGAAGTAAGCTGAGGTTGAATAACATATATTTGCATTCCAGAAGCAGCATAAAATGTTATTTTATCTTAAGCATAGTATTTTAATTGCTATATATAACTTTCTATAAATCCAGAAGTTGTGGCTTACAGTGCCACCTCTAGGGATGTTTCTGTCCTTTGTTTGATAGAGATGCTACCATGATATAAAATGATATTTTATTGCTACTCCAGAGAATAATTTTCATCTTTGTCATAGAGTACTGTGTGATTATTATGAAGAAACCTTCCATGGCAAAAGACACAACTAAATATCTATTTTAGTGCCTGACTCCAGGTACTGAATTGGAATACTTTCAGAATTACTTTGGTTACCAAGTTGATTGGTTTTAACCTAAGCTGTCTTGAGTTTCTATGCTAGATAAGCCCAAAATTCTCACTAAAAGAAATTTATTTCGTTTTCTCTAGAACAAAAAAGCTGAATAATTGAGTATATTTGGGAAAATAAACAGATTAGGCAGTAAATATGTTTGCATCTCAGTGTTTTCATACTCAGGAAAAAATGTTTTGCATTGATTAGTAGTCTGCTGGTTAAACACTGTCATTATGAAAACTTTAACCTTCATTTCACACATGGCTTCTCTCTCATTTCAGAAATGATTTATCAGATTGATTTTCTTACCCAAATATCATAGAATCATAGAATGGTTAGGGTTGGAAGGAACTTTCAAGATCATCTAGTTCCAACCCCCTGCCGTGGGCAGGGAAACCCTCCACTACACCAGGTTGCTCAAAGCCTCACCCAACCTGGCCTTGAACTTCCAGGGGTGGGGCATCCACAGCTTCTTTGGGAAACCTGTTCCAGTGCTTCAGAGTGAACAATTTCTTCCTTAGATCTAATCTAAATCTCCCCTCTTTCAGTTTAAAGCCATTGCCCCTTCTCCTGTCACTACATGCCCTTGTAAAAAGTCCCTCTCCAGCTTTCAAATATGTAATATTTCTCCTTTGTTGTGATGAGGTGATATTGATATTGACATTGTGGAGAAAAAAAGGTAATTTAAGATGTTTTCCTGAGCCAAAACCGTTTCCAAGCCTATGAACTGTATGCAGTTCTGAGTGTGGTTCTGTATTCAAAATATTATCTTTGTACTACTGAGCAAGTTTGTTCTCAGCATCTATATAAGAGAAATGTTCAAATTAGAAATATTTATCTGATTTACAAGAAGAGTAAGGATTATATGATTCACTATTGTGTTGGTTTTGGCTGGAATGCAGTTAATTCTCTTCATAGTAGCTAGCATGGAGCTATGTTTTGGATTTGTACTGAAAACAGTGTTGATTAATACAGAGATGTTTTTGTTATTGCTGAGCAGTGCTTACACAGAGCCAAAGCCTTTTCTGCTTCTCTCCCCACCCCACCAGTGAGTGGACTGGGGGTGCACAAGCAGTTAGGAGGGGACACAGGTGGGACAGCTGACCCCAACTGACCAAAGGGATATCCCACACCATATGACATCATGTTCAGGATGTAAAGCTGGGGGGAAGGAGGAGAAAGCAGGGGACGTTCAGAGTGATGGCATTTGTCTTCCCAAATAACCATTATGTGTGATGGAGCCCTGCTTCCCTGGAGATGGCTGAACAACTGCCTGCGATGGGAAATAGTGAATTAATTCCTTGTTTCGCTCTGCTTGCATATGCAGCTTTTACTTTACCTGTTAAACTGTCTTTATCTCAACTCACACGTTTTCTCCCTTTTACCCTTCCGATTCTCTCCCCCATCCCGCTGTGGGGGTGAGTGAGCGAGCAGCTGCATGGGGCTTAGTTACCAGCTGGGGTTAAACCACAGCTATTAAGTAAAAATTTCGGTTGCCAAGTAAGTTCTCGTTTTTAAAACCTTAGGGGTAACTCCTCCATTTTTCTCTCTTCAGCCCCTGTCACTTTGGAGGGAGATGCTCCATTTCCTATCATTACTATAATTCAACAAAAAACCTTACTTTTCCAGCCCTCTATGAAAACTGTGAAAGAAACAGTTGCCTAAGATATGAAAACGATGTTGGCAGATATTTGACATTTATACATTCTTCATTCAAATTAATGTCAAAAAGGTCAAAGTTTCACATTACCCTTCAGTTCCAATTCAGTCTTTTGAATTCTTAGGAAAATTACATTACATTAATTCTTTTTTTTTTTTTCTTCTGATGTAACAAACTCTTCTTGGCAAAGAAAATAAAGCAATTTCTTAGAAAATTAACAGGCATTGCAATTTAATTACTACTTGAAATTTTAGTGATATAGGTCATGACTGCCTCTTATCGATGTTGTAAAGCAATTAAATAATAACACATGCTTAGCTAAAAATTAATTCATGTAACTAAAAATGTAAATCTAAAATAAAAAATGTAATATTTGATCTATGAATTCAATTCAAAAGTATGGAATCTATATTTACGGCATCAGTCTTCTAAAATGTTCCTAGACTCATGAACAGCTTTCAGAAGGTAGGAAGGTTGCAACTATAATGACTCTTAAGTGGGACATTATTAATAGGCTCTGTTAACAGGATCTTCTAATACAGGGACAAAGAAGTACCAGTAAGTAGCTCTTCTTAAATGTATACAGCTTTACAGAGAGAGCCAGATGGTTCATTGGTAATGTCTATGGTACTAACGAACAAATAACTTCTGCACAGACCCATGTAGTTTAATTACTTGTGGAATCAGGCTTCTCCACCTCTGATAGAGACTCTAAAAAGACGAGACATAGGGCACTACCTGTTGCCTCAGGTGTAAATGAATGAGATGAGTAACAATGCAGAGGAGACAGCCAGCGTTGCTGGCACACTATAAGCTAGACCCGGACTCTGTGTGACCCCTGCTAAGACTCCTATTTATTGTGGATAGGGCATTTCTAGCTATCCCATTTCATTTTGTAAAGAGATAATGAACCCAGTAAAAAATACTTCATGTTAAAAGCCCTGAATGACAGCATATGCTTTCTGTCTCTGAACTGTATCCAGTTGCAGCTGTCAGATGCACAGCTGAGAAAATACAGCACCAGCTGCTGCTGCCTCCCACCTTGTCCCTCTATCACAGACAACGTGTAATTTCCTGAATGAGAAGTCACAGAGTGCAGTAGTCATCCTAACTACTCTTGCCTTACATCTTTGCTACTCTTGTAAGCAACGCTTCACTTTTCAGGAAGAGCGCATAAAATCTGGGTCACTTTTCCATGTACTACCAGATTGATTCCCTATTGCCTAAGTATATCTGCATGTATATACACTATGCTGTCAGCTTGGAAGGCTCCTTCCTGGTAACATCTGGGTAGCATGGCAGAGTGCTGTGGGGACATACACGAGCTGCCTGAGGTACCAGAGCTGTGTCACCACCAGCTCCGTGCGCAGTGGGCCCTGGCTGCCCAGTCCATTTTGGGAAGCAGAGTCCATTAAGCTGGGAGCAGTGCCACAGTAACGTGTTATCCCACCTGCAATACCTGGCCTCTCACTGAAAAGTAATTCAAATACCCTGGTACAACACTGGATAGTACTCTGAAAACATAACCAACGAGGAGGTCTGGAAGATCTTAACCAGTCTCCAGTTGTTTCCCCTTTGCCTGAGAAGGTCAACTTATTTTTGTTACATGTCCTCTATGTAGAGAGAGTCCTGTATATGACTTACTCCACGTTATAGAATATTTCAGGATACTTCCTCACTGTTTTTCCTGC